CCCGCCGCGGGCAGCCAGCCCCTCCCGGCCGAGGGAGCCGACACCAAGACCTACTTGTGGGCCAGGTACCACGAGATGAAAAAGCTGGTCTACGGTAAGGGCCGCCTCCGGGCGCCGGGACTGCCACGTCCTGCCGGGCTTGGGAGGTCTCTCTTTTTTTTTTCCTCCTTTTTTTCCCCTCTCTTTACATCTTGGTGCCTTCCCCCACGCTGCGGAATGGGGGATGTGCCCGTTGCTGTGCAGCTGCTGGGGTTAGAAGCTTTCTCCCTGGCAATGCCATCTGCACTCCTCCATCGCCCAGGGCCCTCTGGGACCGTTTTATTTCTATTGAAATCTGGCCCTGGGTCTTCCTCTCCCCATCCTGGGCTTCCCTCTGTGAACATCCCTTGGCTGGTCTTGGCGTTTCAGGACATGCAGAGTACGTGGGGTTCTTCACAACTGGCCCCCGTAATGTGGATATTGTTGTGGCAAATGGCCTAAATGAAGGGCCTTTTGCATTTCTGTCCAATTTGCCGTTGGTTGGCGTACGGAAAGGTGGTTAGACTAGGACAAATAGACAGCCACATTGACTGGTGTGGTGAGGAGTCCAGGGTTCAACCACGTAACTCGCCATTGGCACAAGGGTGAGCATGGAGAAGACTGATGCTACAGCTGCTAGGATGTTTCCTGATCCTGAGCTCAGTTTGTGTTACAGATGCGAAATGCCTTTTACTCGTGTGTGTGTGTGCATGTTTTTGCTTCTCTGACCAATAAGTTACTTGGCTCCGTCAGGTACGTTGACATCTTGCTAAGCGAGGAGAAAACTCACACCACTCACCAAATCTGTCCATGTGTAAAACAGGATTGTGATCTTTTTGTTAGCGGCAGATCTCTGCTGTATTAAACTCACCTAAAAACGTGAAAGAATAGCTTTTGTGGCCTTAGGACAGGGAACTTTTTCCTGCTGGTTTCTTGATTCTTAGAATGCTGAAAGTAAGCACTGTAGAAAGCTAGGAAATGTGACTTTGTGTCTGCTGTTGAATAGCTCTTCATTAGTTTTGGTTTATCTAAGGGGTTGGAGAAGGATGGCAGCCAGCAATAGGCATCTGGAAGAACCATCTTGCTGTTCTGAGATTGACAAGTTCTGCCATTCCTTCCTTACCCACCTTCCAGCACATGAGATTTGACATAAAATCTAACATCCTTCTTGATGTACAGATGTAAAGGAATTGGCCGCTGATCCATTGGGTGCTCAGCCTGCTGCATTCCAGCTTTTGCAGGGTGTGAGCTTCTTTGCCTGAGCTGCTGAAGGCAGTACAGGGTGCTGACAGAGGACAGTAGCTTCGTGATAAGTCCCTGCTCCAAGACTGAGTTGTGGTTTTAGCCCCACTGCTTGAAAGAAATTCCAGCTTGCAGGTGTTTGGACCTTAGCATCCTCAACAGCATTTTTTTTCTTTTCCATAATGGTATTGAAACTGTAAATGAAGGTGTGTTAATAGGCTGTATCGTGGTCTCTTGGGAAAATGCTCGCTTTACTACATGACAGATTGTTAAGTTTGTATTCACACAGTTATACTTCGTTGGGATGCGAGAGATGCAGTTGTTACTGGAGATGGAGAACTAATGAGCAGGACTAAATGCAAAATGAATTTTGGTGAAGTAGCCCATGTATGACAGAGCAAACTCTTTACAGACCGTCAGGTAACTATTAGGCATGCTAAATAAGAAGGCCCTTGTTTGTTTGAAGAATAGCTCCCCAAACCAAAATTTCAAGACTGTGCTGTTATTCAAGTCTTGTCAAGAAGAGGCATAAACAAAGTTGGTCCAAGTTGGTTTTAATTGTTCCTTTGACGACTAAACCGAATTGTGAAAATGTGGCATCAGTCTGTTTCTTTGTTCTGGGTTTCTAACTCTGATGTAAAAGTGAATGTCTGTGGTTGGGGTATGGATTTGAAAACAACACCAGGTCTCAATACTCATAAGCATTAAGTTTGAGAAGACTCCTATGGTGCCACCTTCTCCCTCCTTCTCTGAAACTCCCCCTTGGTGGAGTCCCTTGTCCTATATTGTCAGTTATCGCTGTTGGTTTTGGAGAGAGGTCTCTGCCAGGAGAACTTAATATGTGTTTTCAAACCAGCTCTTGCTTAGGACCTGATTTAAAGACCAATGTTGTATTTTTGCATAGAGGGGATTCCAATGATAAATGCTGACTGAGTTGGACAGGGCAGGATGTGTAGGACAAGAGCTTCTGTGCTGTAAAGCTCAGTGGCGGTACTGGTTTGGTGGCCAGAACCCAGGCACCAGAAGTTCTTAACTTTGTAGAGACACGTCTGTGTTCTGCCAGGCTTGAGCATGGTGATACAAACATCATTTCATTACCTGTAAGAATTTGAGGCTACTGCTTCCACTTACTGTATTTTTTTTTCAAAAGGAAAAGTATATTTGCATTTGTCAGAGGAGTGGTGTTGAGCAAGACTTGCTGTATTTTGTTTTGATGGCATCTGAAGTGTCAAGGAAGGCTGATAGATAAGGCTCTTAGTAAGCAGTGTCTGAAGTCCTGCACTCTAGGAAACATCCGATCCTGAAACTCAGTGGAACTGGCAAGCATGTGAGGATTTGGCTGTAAATAAATGTGTATGTTTTTTCCTAGATCTTTCAAACTTGTAAACATAGCTACAATACATCAGCTTTCCTAAGGAACCTGTACAATAACTACTAACTTCTTGCCTCTGCATGACAAGCTTGAGCGTGGTTAAATGTGAGAATTACTGACACAAGTTTGCAGATAACGAGAACTTGGTTAAGCATTGATAACACTGAGGATGCAGCTCAGAGGTAGTCCTTTGCTCTTTTTAGTCTGTGTGGACCAAGAGATACCTTTGCATCTAAATATTGCAAGATGCAGTCACCAACATATGCTCATCATGTTTGGAAATGGGAGAGAAGGCAACACCCCTCTGTGATGATTGCATCGGTGATTCCGCTGTGGTGCACCGGTTGGTTTTGAAATCCAGCACATTTTGATTCTGCTTGTGTCGCTAATCTCAAGCAGGCACAAAGATTTAAGGGCCTCGCTCTTTGCCAAACCAGGAAACAAGTCTAGTGCTATGGTAATAAATGGCCTGCGAATTGCTTGGGGAGTGTGCACGTTTCACAAGTTGCGGCATCTGCAGACTGAGCTGGGACTGAAAATGACAATTAGGAGCCAGAACTGGAAGCGCGACCAGTCACGTTAACTTCCAAATTCTGTTTTCCTAACTATAAAGATTTTTTCTTGTAAAGAACAGTTATACCAGCACTTCTCTAGTGCCTTTGCGTATATAAAAAATGTTGTTTTGGAATGAAATGGTATTTTTAAATATTGCATTTGGTTTGTGTCGATTTCATTGGCGAGAAATCCCAAAATATTTAGGCGTAATGGCATAAATTCAAGACTATACTCCAGAGTAATTTTCATCACTCTTTTAATGTAGGTCCTCTGACATTTAATGCTCTTTAATATTTCCCTCTCCCTCCCATCTTGTCAGAGTTATCTACTTCGACTGGTCAGAGTGCTTTGCAGGAATTGCTGTAAAATGGTACAAAACAACACTTCAGAAGGGTAAAGAGGTACTTGCAAGGGAGGAAAAACTTGCAGTTTGTCTTTAGAAAGCAAGTCGGTGTGAGCAACGGGAACTTTTTGATTTATGAAAAACGTAGAGGATGGTGGCCATCTGCTTTTCAGTATCACTCTTCCTCATGAGTCGTACGAAGAAGTTAGCACAGATGTCTGCTGTGCTGGACCCCTGGGAGTGCAAAGGGTGTGAGAGATGGGTGTGAGCTGCCTTTTTATGTATTATTCTTCACTAATATGCTGGATCTGAGGCTGAGAGAAAAGGAGCTTTTCCTGTGTGATGCTGATGGTATGCTCCGGAGCTCAGAAAAACACGGGACATGCTTGGCACCTCTTGGCCAGAGTGTTTTTCACATCAGAAGGGGCCATATGGTGTCTTGGTGTCTCTAACTGTTGCTCAAAGTTAATTACCTGCTTTTGTTTCCATCTCTGCTGTTGCATTGGGGATTGAGTGTTATTGCTTTCTAACAATGTGGGCTATTGCCTGGGAAGAGGCGCTTGTGCTGTCATGAACATCCTCCGATTTAAGCAGCTGTTTAGGGCCTCACTGTAGTAAAACGTGGGAGATTATGTGTGTTTACCTTGCATTTACACCCAGGTGTAAAAAATGCAGGAGGTCAAACATGCTTTCTTGTGGTCTGCCTTTGTTGCTGAGTTTCGTCATGTACCATGGATATGCAGACACTTCCCTTAAAACCACCAGAGTTGCAAACCGGAGCAAATTGTGCAAGTTTGCAGATTCCAGGGGTTTGTATCTAATGCAAGAGCTGTTTTTTCCCCACTGTCCTCAACTGTACGCACGCCGGTTCTCCCTTAGATCACACTTCCTGGATGAAGTGCTGAGTAGACGGTGACTAACTGCCGTATTGTCTCCCTTACCAGTTAGGACCCAGATGGAAAGAGTAATTAGGATTATCGTTCTTTTTAAAGAAGCAAAGCTGGTTTTCATTCTGGGTTTTTTTTCTGCTGTAATTTATCCTATTTGTCTAGCAATCTGTTTTGGTGTCTTGGCAAATGAAAAGCAAGAGCTATCGTTCTTGGAAAATGGCATCTTCTTGGGCTCCTGGAGGGTGTCATCTGTTTTGACTCAATGATTGCCAGGCAAACTTGAGGCACAGATCCCTGGCAGATCATGTGCTGAATGTCAGCAGAGCAGCAGTGCCCAAGTCTGCAGCCTGGGACTTAATTAAGTGCTCAAAATTTGTAACCACTCAGGTAATTATCTTTTAAAAAAAAGCCCAACACAGAAAAGCAAACCAACCCAACCGACCAAACAAAACCTCAAGCTTCTTGAAACCTGGCTCAGTAAGCCAGGCATGTTTGGGGTCTCATATTGAAGCCTATCTTGCATGTGCTCCCAGCTTCTGTTGCTTCCCTGATGTAGTTTAAACCTGTGGATACGCTTCATGAGTGTAAAGAGGAGGCTGATGTCGAAGGCTCTGTTGAGGAGGATGCTGCAAATGGACATTCACACACTGAGCCAAACATGCAGCATGGGTTTCTGGACTGAAACCCAGAGCTTTTTCCTTCTCCCTAGGAGATCAGTGACTTCAGAACTACTGTAAATTTAAGATTGAGGATGACAGCATGGAAAGAGCAAGCTGTCAGCAAGCTGCTGCATGTTTGGTTTGGTGATGATGATGTGCAATAGGAAACACAGAAAATAGATGTGCGGTGCTCCAGGAAGCGTGCGTAAGGAACACGTTATGTGAGGCAGTGATGATAAAGCATTTTGGCTAGCATATCTGTCCGTCTCCAGCCCTTATGAGGTAAGAGAGGACATGCTGTCTAAGTTAAGCCACAAAATGTCTGAGTGGGGTAAAATGAGCTGGGCAGGAGGCTGTCAGAGGATGGCAGAGAGGCTCTGTATGTTTGAGGCTGGCCGGGAGGAGTATGACTTCATCCAGTGGGTCTAAATATACTTCATAAATCACACTGTGTGGCACAGTTACTGCTTATGCTTCTGATCACAGATAAGACCTGCTTCACGAGCTTGGCGAATCCCAGACTACTCTTGTTACAAAACCATACTGCTCCCTTAGTTTTTCCTGATTGTATTTTTGCAAAAGTTATGGCCGGCATATGTTGTTGAATCTAAATGTGTCTCATGTCTTCTGTGAAAGGAGAGATGGGCTTCAGGCAATGGTATTTTGCACTGCTCACAGACTATCAAAATGTGTGTTAAATAAATCTGTTAGCAAATGGTGAATGTTGGAAGACCTTGACCTCTCTGTAGGGATACGATAGCAGCAAGTCGGGTGCATTTGCTGTAAAA